TGCTCACAAGAGTTAGGACAAGAACTGTATTAAAAAAAATGGTAAGATTTCTTCATTATTTTCTTAATCAATAAAATCACATGAATTGAAATTAATTTTTTTCAATGTTAGTCAGTCATTGAGCTTCAGCTCTAGCCTTTTCATTTAAGCTCACCTGAGCCATTTTAAGGCCTAAGTGAGTTTTTTGATCAGTGTCACAGTCTGGTGTTTGTCTGTTGTCTATAAACTTTTCACATTTTACATTTTAATATCAGAATTAATCCTAATTTGAACAAAAAATTGCAAGACAGTGAATTCATATTCTACAGTAAACTGATCTGCCAGGTAGAAAAGAACAATTATTTGTAGAGCTTTAGTTTATTATTTGTCATATATTTATACTGATATCAATAATGATACATCTTAAATGGTCATCTCCTCTTTCAGAAATTGTGCAAGGGAAGTTTGAAGTGTCTGTTTGAATGATCAACATCGAACTTGCTGAGCCTTCGTACTAAAAGTGAATCCGTTGGTGATGCCAAATATCTGTCAACCCTCTATTGCAAATTTCATGGGATATCTGTGAGGATGTGATTCTAGCAACATGTCAGAAGTTTTGTATCTTCCATAATTGGGATCTTTGGCACGTACATTGGTGGAAAATAGCAACTGTTCATTTTTATGGGATCTTTGTATCAATGTAGTTGTGTACTACATATATTTTTGCATTTAATACATGTGTTTGTCACTCTAGTCACTAATTTTGTACAGTAAATGTACATGGGCCACTGGCACTTTATTGTAAATGTATATCCTGTTGAGGTTTCAATGACCTCTCCCAATCCTTGGCCAATGTCATTTAATGAATCTAACCTCTTATTTAAAAAAAATGCATACTTTAGTTTACTGCATTACATGTATATCATAACTTGATTATCATTAATTTAACCAAGGTGATCCCCCAGTAATCATATTTTTTCTTGGATATATCTGTTAATAACCTTTGATGTAAAATACTTTGCAGTTTCATTGAGAATACATACATTTTAAAAAGTGTGCTTATATTGTACATCTGAGTGGTATATGCTTTTATATTTGTCTCAAAAAACATTGTAAAAGAAACTGTGAATTTTTTATTTTGCAACTTGCTTAAAGTTTGATGTTAGAGAAAATTCGGTCGAAAAAAGTTGTGTGATGAAAAATGACATTATTTAAAGCACATTATGATGAATATAACTGTTTAATTTAAATTATGAAGAAACATAAATAATCAAATTGAAAAAAATGCTGTCAGTGGTGATGCAGTGTTTGTTTAATTAAAATTAAAGAAAAACACGAAATGTTTAGAGATTTCATGATTTATTTTTTCAGATAGTTGGTGAAAGAATGTTATTAAATATAAATTATGCCAGGGGCTTGTTCAACAATTGCATCTGCATGCAAAAGTTGCATTATGAGAGTAATGAGTGTTTTCTGTCATTTATGTGTCAATCATTTTTGTCAGTTATTTTAGTCTTCATGAAAATTCATGAACATTCATAATACCATGAACTCTACATTTTTTCTGTCTTTAAAATGAAAATTACCAATATTCATATAAATTCATCATTTGTTCATGAACTACATTTTATGAAAATATTCATGAATAAAGTTCATGAACCATCTTTATGAACCAGTCATGAACCGTTCATGAACACATCATGAATGTTCATGAACGATTCATAAAAGTTCCTGAAATTATGAATTTCACCTCGCAGGGGTATGTGCAATAAAAGATTACCTTTGGACCCTTATTGATTTAAAATGTAAGGTGACCTATGATCCCTCTGATGATGTACAATATAAGGTGACAACTGGTCTCCCTAATGATGTTAAATATAAGGTGGCCTCTGGTCCCCCTACTGATGTACAATGTAAGGTGATCTTTGATCCCCCTATTGATGTAAAATATTAGTTTACCTCTGGTCACCCTTTATTATTTTCACGTTTCTGCTAATATATATATTAGAAAGTTGATCTTTAAAAGTTAAAAATATGATTATTTTGGAGTAAGACAAAGAAAATGGTCTATCATATAAAATTCAATTAATATATAAGGTGACCTGAGGTCTCCGTATTGATGATATCGATGAATTTACTTTTGTGCCTTTAATGCCTGGAGAGTTCCTAGAATGTTTTATTACTACGCAAAATGACGAACTATTTGCGGGGGACCCCAGGTCCTAGTTCAGCGTACGTTTTATCCTTCTGCCATTCGATATTTTTGAATTTCAGCGTGTTGTTAAAATTAATTGTTCATCGAGCCCGACTTCGATCTCGATGTTATTGTACTATTAGTCGGCAGTTTAAAAAAAAATCTAAGTAATTTTCCACAGCTTTCCAGCGCAGAAAATGGCTAAGTTTCTCATTTTGTATTTTTTTTCCAAAGAATTCCACTACTTTCCCAGCCAAAAAATGTCTAAGTCCAATTTTTTTTTCAAATTCCAGAATATACCAAAAACTTCCAGACATTCTTTTCGAGTTATGTATGGAAACGAATGGAATTCCATGGAATTCCAAAACTTTTCCAAACCCTTTAGAAAATCTACATTAGGGTATTACTTTTGGTTAGACACAAGCTAAAGTCACCATAGCTAGTCACAAAGACACTAGGGAACTAGATCCCTGGGCTGAGTGGTCTAACTAACAATTCTGTTGTTTCCCGACACAACCCAGGTACCCTTCCCAAGTCACCTAACTCCGACAAAGAGTTACACCAAAGTAAACGAAGATAGAGTGATCCCTGTATTTATACTCTTTTGCATCTGTTCAATTAGTGCTGATTGGTTATTAATTCTAATAGCTGATTGGCTACACATAACATGATTTGATTGGATGATTCAAAACTTATTTCATTCAACTTTACTAATTCTGATTTATTACACTTGTATAACTATGATAAACTTTAACGGCTCTCTATTTTCTTCGTTGTCCATGAATTGAACAAGTTTAAATCTACATTACGTTTTCTGATGTTTTTATATTAATGATCAATCATGGCTTTTATGTTTTTGTGAAAATTTTTAAAGATTTAACGATTTTTCCTGTGTATTTAAGAAATAAAGTCCGCGTTTTCATGAATGTTGCAGAATAACCTCCGAGGTCGAGAAATGTTGTTTGAAAGATAAAAGCCGAGGCGTTAGCCGAGGCTTTTATATTTCAAACAACATTTCGAGACCGAGGAGGTTATTCTGCATCATTCACGACAACAAGGACTTTATTTCCATTCTACCATGTCTACTACAATCACTAAAATACGGCTGATCGTCTCCTCTATAGAGAAACGAATTAGGCCACCATGTCTCGATTACGCTGTTCCATTTAACATCAGAGGTAAAATTTGTTTGCTTACCTGTGTATGGAATGCAGACGATTTGAGCTTTCGTTACATTAAAAATAGCCTTTTTAAATTACAAATTTGTTCGTAATATGTATTGATCAGTTAAAATAAATATACAATAACAAAATAATGTTCCTGTTTTACTGCTAAAATCACGTTCTTTAATGTGTTGGGAGGTCCGCGGAATAGCCCCGCTTAGCTATAAAAACCGACATTCGTCAGCAACTTTATGCAATTTTCAGTGTTTATACTGCAAAAGACGACACATCGATGCAGTCTATAAACAAGTATTTCATTCTACAGCCAAACATGCATTTGAATTGTTCAGATTTGATACGTGTTTCTGATCTGATAATTTTTTGATGACGTTCGTGGTCTATTGGAGAATAATGTCCGCCGCCTTTCTGTGATCTTTGCAATAATCGTGTACCTAGAATTCTACGTAAAACCTTATTCACCCATCGTAGCCAAACTCTACCCCCGGGGGTCGTGATTTGAACAAACTTGAATCCATAATACCAGAGGCTGCTTCCATGTAAATATGTATAATCACAGCTTTGCTGTAGAAATAATTTTAAAGATTTTTCTATGTAATCCTTCTTTGAACTTTGATCCCCCATTGTAGCCCCACCCTACCCCCGGGGATCATGATTTGAACTAACTTGAATCCATACTACCAGGGGATGCTTCAATATAACTACAACGTATGACCAATCATGACTTTGCTGTATATGAGAAGAAGGTTTTAAATGATTTGTCCTATGTATTCCTATGTTTAACTTTGATCCCCCATTGTTGACCATGATTTGATAAAATTTAAATCTACAGTACCTGAGGATGCTTCCAAACGAGTTTCACCCTCCTGGCCCAGTGGTTCTTGAGAAGACATTTAAAAAAATTCCTATGTATTCCTATGTTAACCTTTGATCCCCATTGGGGCCCCACGCTACGCCCGGTGGTCATGATTTGAACAAGCTTGAATCTACACCACCTGAGGATGCTTTCACATGAGTTTTATGTTTTATGGCCCAGTGGTTCTTAAGAAGATTTTTAAAAGATGTCATTAATTTTTCACTAATTCATGATTCTTTCCACTTGGAAGAGGGCGAAGCCCTTCATTTGAACAAACTTGAATTCCCCTTATCCAAGGATCAGTGGTTATTCAGAAGAAGATGAAAACGTGAAAAGTTTACATAACAGCAACAACAACAACGACAGACACCGGACAAATTTTGATCAGAAAAGCTCACTTGAGCCTTCTGCTCAGGTTAGCTAATAATTTTAAGTTCGATAGCTATACATTTATGAGCTTTTCAATTTTACTGAACTTAAAAAAGAACTTCCTATCTAGCTATGATTCAAGCATTTTTAAAGATCTTGGAAAATGACAATGTGTTGTTTACTGAGTTTTTTAAAATCTTATTCCCGAAAAAGGTTTTTAAAAATGTGATAGTTGCTTTCCCTGTTCAACTCATAAAATTACAAAAACTGAAACAAAGGCACTTGAAGTCAGTTAGTGTTTATTTTAGAATAAAATTTAACAGTTTTAACTCATGTGGTCAACAATTTTGCATATCTCTGAGAATATTATCTTACATTTCAACAGAACACCTCGTCAGCTTTTAGATTTTGTTTAATCTAGTTCTGCTACAAAAATCACAAGTGTGCCCAAGCACTGCAGGATCGTTCAAGACGGGTGTAGACAGAGGGCGGTCAGAAAGTCAGACGGTAAGGAATGTGATGGACCATTCGGCATGGTTGGATGAGGAAATACAAGTCATGTACATTTCCTGTCGGACTTTAAACATTTGGAAGTTTATGTTTAAATGATAAATTAAAATTACAATGATTTAGAATTAATTCAATATACTCAGAGGTTGATACTGAGTATTTAAAAGGTACACGACAGTATCATTGTCGTTTTCGGAGACTGGGTCTTCTAGCGACAATTATGGAATGTCTGTTCTGTTTTGCCGCGATTTTATTTTAGTCCCCCCCTGTTGCTACGTGCCTGCTTTATCAATTTCATTAAAGTTTCCGTGTATGGCTTCATTTAATATACAAGATTCACCAATAAGTCTCTATACATGTACCAATGATGCCTTTAAAGATTTCAATCCCTAATAGGACCAAATTCTCTACCCTTAACTGACCGTCAGATATATAATACTCTGATATTAATTTAAAGCATTCTATATAAGAAAAGGATTGCCCGCGAGAAAGTTTTAAAATTTTTATTAATCAAAAAGTAGTTCAGTACTTAAAAAGTAGTTAACAGTAGTTAATTAATAGATTACATTGAAGTTTATGGGGAAAAGCGTTTATTTTAAATAAAAATTTAAATAATATAAATATCAATAAATACTGTGGTGGAAAGATGTATTGAACTCTTAGAAATGGAATGTCTATTAAAAATAATTTTTTTACCGGTTAAAATTTTTAAAAAATAAAATTGATTTTTTTTATCAATTAAAAAATTGAGGGAGATAATTCTTACCAAAATTCAAGGTCATAGATTAGGACACATCCTACTCTTACATTCTTATAATAATAAATAGGAATTATGTCTAAATAAACTGAGCATTCAACACCTACATATCTTTATGTATTTAATTTCAATGAATCTGTTGCTATTAGGGACTGAATACCTTAAAGCCTTTAATTTCAGTTCAATATCAACCAATCCTATCCTCCCATCTTCTTGTTGAGTTGCCCTTCACTGTATCTTGCCTAATTCTACATCGTTTATTTCAAGGAAAAAAATTAATGTATTTTCTTTGCTTTCTTCTATCCATTATGCTGTAAGTCTAATCAAGGCAGAAAATGTCAACAGTAGAATTTTTGCGATAAAAACACATTTTAGAATGAATTTTAGTAATCTATTGATTTTTTAGCAAGCAATGTATCAGGATGTTACAATCCGTATCGACTGTTCAAGTTTTTTAATGATCAATATCTGGTAAACACCCAATAGCACCAATAACAGCATCACAACTACTTTCCATTGGCACAACTCTAATTAACCTTAGACAGACACAACTGTAGACAGTTACAACTGTAGACAGACACAACTGTACACACACCTGCCCTGCTAATAATGACAATTCAATGACAAATTGTGCTTGAATTAATTATATTTGGCCAAATATATACTTCAAAATTATTTTATATCATTAAGTGACCAAATACATTACAATGTATATGATATAATCAGATTAATATATCCAATATTGTTAAAGTTAATTCATCAAGTCAAACCATAAAATAGTAAAATGAAAAAAAAACCAAACAAACCAAAATTCTTATTGAAATATACAAAATATACCTGATATTTTTGTAAAGCTACCTTTATTTCCCTGACTCTTGATTTCAATGATTTAAAATTCATAATGATGGTAAAAATAAAAAAAAAGTGGTAGGAACGTACTGAAGTGAATAAAACATTGTATTGCTTGGTTTTATATCACAATCTCTTAATGAAAACAAAAAGCCTAGCAAAATATCTTGCCACATCCATGAAACTTTCTTCAAATCTCAGACTTTGAAAAACCTGAATCAAATATGGCATATAAAAAGCATTTCTGTTAGTGAAGATGATGAGAGATTTAGGGTGATACAAACCCTTTGAAACAGATCGATCTTCATTTAAGTAATAGAAAGATTGTTTCTTGATGGAATTCGGATACAAAGACAGCGACTTCATAAAAGGAAAAACATATTTAACCCGAACTCGACGGGACCAAGATATCCAATAATGTTAAACGTTTCAACATAAACAAAAAAGTGTTTTGGACTACTGGCTAACGCACTTCGGTATTAGCTTGCTATTAGAGATACCAGTGATCGGGATACTCTAGTAACTTTAAAACTTCAACTGTATCAGTAAGTTGTAATGCCTAATTGAAAATTCTTTTCATGACAATTCCTTTACGAGCAGGAATGGCGAAACAAGTATTTGAAATGTTTCTTTATTTAGTTATCACCAGAAAAAAAATAACATTAAAACCAGTACAAGTCTTGATAAAAAAAAATCATGAAAGTCATCTGTTTTGAAGAAGCGAATCAACTTTTCATTAAAAAGACATAAAAATGTTTTACAAGGAATAACAAAGCTTGAAAAGTGTTGGATTCTACAATTCTGATCCGTAGTCTTTGTAAAGGAGACCTAGAAATAAAATAAAAAACATATTTAAGGAGAAAAGAATCTGTGTGGAAACATTTAACTGATATTCATTACCATAATTTGCGACAAAAATTTCATCTCAAACAATATTATACACAGATTAGTGGTAATACTTAACTAAACAATTTTCAAATAAATACTTATTATTCTGCAATGAATCAACATATATTTTATCTTTTTTCTCATATATATCAGCAAATATTTATCCTCTGGTTGATATTAATTACAGAATCAAACTCACCAGCAATACAACCAGTAAGGAAGCAGGCGACATTTCCTGCTATCATGGCCCTCAGAACGATCTTTGAGAGATCCCCTCGTCGGGAGGGAACCAATGCAGACATCCCTCCCAGAAATATCCCCATAGACCCGAAGTTAGAGAATCCACACAAGGCATACGTTGCTATAACTTCTGACTTAGCCTGCACAATATAAAAATTCACAGAAATACAAATATACATGTATATTGTCCATACAATGTACTAGGAACTACGACTGATGATTTAATCCTATTTCTTACTGTATTTTCTTTAATAACGCAAGTATGCATAAAATATACAATTTTACGTACATGCTTATTTCTCCCCCCCCCCTCCCCCAAATAAGACATATACACATGTATTGATATAATTTTGTACCGAGATGATTCCTTTCTTGAGAGTCTGGTTGACGTAAGGTAGAATGATATCCTCCCCCTGGTAAAACCAGTCGGAGGACGAGTTCCACGTGGCAGTGTACTCCGTAAAGTTCCTTTTGTTAGTTATAAGATGGGACAGTTCTGTGTAAGCCACGAACTCGTTAGTGAAGGTTTTGATGCCGATCAGTTCCGCCACACGACGACAGTCCGGTATATCCGTCCCCATAAAGAAGGCGATCGGATAGAACACATAGGAACAGATCAACTGAACAGAGAAGTACTATTAATAATAATACTATAAGTACAGTGTACTGTGATATAAGTCTATGTTAGGTTATAAGCTTGTAAGAATAAGACCATATTATTTTAATTTAGAATACATTGACAAAGAGTAAGATATCACTTGTGGTAATTATAATTTGCATTCAACGAGTATTTGACAAAAATATCTGTTTTTAATCCCTAGATTAGAACTGTCTAAATCCATATGCCAAGTATGTTCCAACAACCTACAACAAAGACCTATGAGCAACCTAGTCATAGATAATATAGGACTGATAATCAAAATTTGTATTTGTAGGCATCCAATAAAGGTGCCTGCTGTCAAATATATATAATTATCTGAAATACAAGTATCAGATTAGTTAGTTTTGAAGTCAAGTTTACGAAATTTGAACATACTGTTCTAATAAATCTTTTGCAATTCTTAAAAAAAATCTTCGGTATATGCGGCATTTATTTTACTTTTTTCAGAAGAAGAGAATTAAAAGATCTAACCCTTTTTCTTTGTTTCTAAATAAACTCTCCTTAAGAAGACAGGGTTACCCATTTAAATTGCCCACAATTATCCAAAGAACACATTGTAGCATGAAATTGAGTGTTGTTCGAAGAAACCATATGGTAGTACATATATACAGTCTATTACATTCATTTTAACATTTTCTATTATCAGAAACACGAGAAAACCTTACTAAACCCCAAATCTCAAGTGAGTTTAAATACATACCGGTATTTGGCTTCATTTTGTTAGACATTTCTAATGTTAAGATTTTTCATTATACCTGAATTTTTTCTTTGTACCTGAAAAGACAGTCTCTCTATACCAACACGATCTCCAAACCAGGTCAGAGTCATGTTGACAAACTCTAAGACACACAAAAAAGCCATGACATTTACAGCAATGGCTGCAACGACCTTCACAGAGTTACTCGCCCCTGAGGAAATAGCCTCTATGACATTTCTGTCTTTTCTGAAAGACATACATATAAATATATCTTTAATAAGAATATTCTTTCTTGATCTGTAGTAAAACATTTCATCTTTTAAACAATATACTGCAAATTAAATAAAAGGTCAATTCTCCCAATGTTTTCAATAAAATAAGTGATATTGTCTAAATGACTTACGATTTTCCCATCTTGTCGAAGTCGTTGCCTTTAATTTTGGGTTTCTCTGTCTCTGGGTATGCTAGTTTAGATATAGCTAGAGCTGCCGGGGCGGACATAACTGAGGCACTGATTAAATGATTTGCGGGAACCTTAAAATGATACAAAAATTTACAAAATGCTTAACATTTGCTTTAATATTCATACATGTACCAACCTTGAAATCTATATTACTCCACTCTCAGGAGAAAAAAAAACGTTAAAAGCAATCCAAACTGTTAAGTCTGATGTCATTTTCAGGTAACAACCAAAAATAAAAGATTGCTTTGATTAAGGTAGAAAAATATATGATATTGACTGGTCAAGTGTCTGGTTAACAAATGATAAGACCTGGCCTATTATGAATTGCATATTGACTAGAAGTATTACACCAAAACTAATGTATGCTCCCAGTACTGATCCAGCGATTGTAGCAAACCCTCCAGTCATGACAGCATGAAGTTCAGACTTAGTCATATCTTCTAGGAACGGCTGAATCATCAGGGGCGCCTCGGTCTGAAAATATATTACAGGTTGTACATTTACAATGCTTTCAAGAAATTGTGTGTTCTGGTAACAATCACTTGGTAAAAATTCAGTTCTTCTCTCAAAGTTGTGAATTGAAATGAGAGTTAACTCACCATGCCTACAAAAATGTTACCCGCTGCATTGAGGGACTCGGCAGGAGTTGTACCCAAACAGAAGGCTAGAAACATTCCCATTCTCTTGACAACGACCTGCATGACCCCAAGGTAATACAGGACAGATGTGACCGTGTAGAAGAAAACCACTACTGGAAGAACCTTGAACAGGAAAATAGATATAGACATGACTGGGTTAGAATTAATATTTAAAAGTGGTTTGATGGAGAAAATAATCGAACATATATTGTATCTGAAATCCTAACAACTAACCATGAACTTGTTTACCAATTCATAACAATAGAAAATCTTTCTTTTTACCTTAAATGCAAAGAAATGGTTTGTATAAAGTTCGCCGAAGACAAATATTGCTCCAGCGTTGGAGTAGTTAAGAAATTCTGTAACACGGTCGCCCAGCCATTGAAACGCCTCATAGCCCCACTTTGTTCTGAGAATTATCAAGGCAAAGATGTATTGTATGGCAAAACCCCAGAAAACTGGGCGCCAGTTGACCTAGAAAAGAATGTTCGAATTCTTAAACAGTTTTGCAGTTAATTGATAAAATATAAGGAAATATACATTATATTTTTTTCCAAGAAGTAAATTAAAGATACAGAGCACACTTCAGAAGAGATTTTTGAAAAACTGACTATTGTGATGACGCTATTGTTAAACACAATAATGCCAATATTTTACCTTGGCAGGATTTTTTGAGAATATGTAGAAAATGATAATGTAGATGGCAAGACCCGCGATGGAGAGTGCATTCTGTGGATAGTCCAACAGGACGTCAACAACGATGTAGGCTGTCAATGCAACGAACACTGCCAACATCAGAAATCTGAGGATAAAAGTATATTTCTTTGCGTTGAAAATTTCAAAAGTGTTCGGTTATAATTTAATAAAAACATAAAAAAAAAAAAAAACAAAAAACAAACAAACAAACAAAAAAGATTGTTTTTGAACTACAGTCTTTTTTTCATTAGACTTATACTACCGTCCTATATTCCGTCTTGCCCTCCTATATCCCTTTGAAGTAGCTTTGTCTCTTTGCGAACATATTCTGATTCTTGTTCCACAGAGGCGTTGAAAAATGTGAATCAGTAGGAAAAGTACTCCTAATATCGTACAAACAAGAAGGCGAATCGAACCCTCGTCTCCAAATTTGTAGTATATGGCATAGCCGAAATAGGCAAAATAAAGCAACAGAATTAAGAGTTTGAAAGTCAAGCTGATTTTCCTTCCATGTTTGCTTAGAATAACAATGACAGCAGTTTGAATTTTATTCGCCACCTTCGCACATCCGGTGTAATTTGTCTCGTCCTCCTTGTCATCTGGATCCACCTGAACGTGGATTTGGGAGACTTTTGTAGGTTCTGAATTGTTTATACTGTCGTACTAAATATAACAAAGAATTGATATTTACATGTATAGAACCATTTACATACATTTAATATACATACAGATGTATTGTTTATTCATACGGGCATTTAAGAACAGATGATACAAACTTTTGTCCAAAATTTTGAAAATAACACTTTGGGTCATTTATTAATGAATAAAATGAATAAGTTTCACTGCGTAGTTTTTGATTTTTTATTCAAAGTGACAAAATAACGGAATTTGAAGTGAAAAATATTTGTGTAAGATAATAAGGATGATTTCAGAAGGGTATAATTTTGAACATCACAGAAGATTTACAATTTCTTTATATTCTAGAAATTTATTATTTGTATCATTTGCAATTAAACTATGTAAAAATATATACCAATCCAAGCATCTACTTTTTGTTTGTATCATCTGTCCTTAAAGGAATTATATGACATCTCTATTATATCACCTTAAGCTTACTTATGGATAGTATGCCGACCTGAATTGTATACTTACTTCCGGTGGGGTATAACCCTTGTTAATTTCGCCTCCATCAAGCTTTTTTTCCATGGAGGTCAGTTGTACATTCATGTTGATGTCAATGTTCAAGCTTCAAATGAGGATACCTACAGCGTTTTCAACAGAGGATTAAAATTTGACCAGATAAACTAATATGCAGCACCCGTGTCATCATAACTGGTACTTTGTTGATGAATGACTGAAGGATGTCTCAGAAGATTTATTTACCTAAAATTTATGGTTTTGAAAACCTGCCAATTAATACTATTTTTTACAATATTTATACGTTACTCGTTCTTTTTCATATTTAATATTTTAGGTTTTGGCAAAATTTGAACATAAAAATTTAAAATACTGTCATTCCCACTTTATCTGTGACAGATCCATACAGCTGCGGATATCTGAAAGTGCGAGGAGACATTGATTTGTATATCCGGGTTCTTATCTACCTTTGATACTTTAATCTTCCGACTGACAGTACCGCTCATGTATATAGTTTAAAAATCTTATTGACATAGTCATCAAAAATCTAGAAGGCATTTTCATATTCATTGAGTGGTATTCAAATTATTTTTAAATTGTCAAATTTGTTTTGAATCTATCAAATGTAAGTACCGTCTTACCCTCATTCTTTTCTCAATATATAAAATCAACATTTTAGATGACAGACTCATTGAATTTTTTTTTCCAAAGTACTTTAAAATTTTTGAGAATATTTCATGAAATATATATTAAACGAATTCTCTTGGCAAGAATTATTTCTTTTCATTTTCAATTGTTAATTCTAAATTAGAGGTACTGTGAGCAATGAGCTCACTAAATGATACCCCCCGCCTCCCATATAGTTATAATGGCAAAGTCCATGTTTTGCTGTGGCCGGGAAACCCAAAATATGTGTCAAATTAAAAGGTAAAATAGGAGGTGCACAATTGCAATATGTAATAAAGATTCTGTGAAAGTTTCATTAAATTTCACCCAGTGGTATAAGAGGACTTACGGATAAGAGATGGGTACCCCAAAGCGTAACAGACAGACGGACGGACGGACAGCTAAGACGTACAGACGGACGAATGGACATACCGATTACAGTATACCCTCCCACTTTCCAAGCGGGGGTATAATGAAAGTATATATAAAACCCAACTTGTTTCAAGTAATCAATTCTAAACTTTAATATCAAAGTAAACTAATTTGGCACTGAAAATGAATTAAAAAAAATTGGAATTGGTTGTATACATTTTTCTACTATACCTTGTGATTGAATATATCCACTGATTGAAGATCTGGCAGACTTCTCACTATAAAACCTCTGTTTCCTTCACATATTAACCCTGGACAGAGATTTGTGGACACACATTCCCATGTAACCTGTCGACAGACCGACCTGTTTGTCAATAGACACTCGTGTCAACAGGGTACCTATAGTATTGTCTGGAGAAAATACGACCTACCTTGGTATTCGCTTCTAAAATATACACATCATACCACACATGGATTATTTTTACTCTACATACAATGTATGTACGAGAAGTTTTTTTTTTTGAAATTGGTTGTCTATTTCTAAAGGGTCTCTAAAGATTTTTCGAATCTAATAATTTTACTCTCTCATAACAAATTTCACAAAAATAATGAATGAAATGTTATAAATAGATTAAACAAAGGTATGTACTATTAAAATCAACTTTATATAGGTACTGAGATACCTTAGGTAAGCTATAGACAAAATGACTTTCACCTTCATAAAAAAGATCGTTTACCTTAAATGGGGTCGGTTAACAGAATGTATATTGTCAATGGTATTGAAAATAAGTGGTAAAAGTTTAAAAATATAAGTACAAGGTGTTATTTTTGGTCATGCTTTGCCAATATAAAGAATTCATCAACTACCTTTTAGATTGAACTCCCTTATATCGTCATGAGCACGTTTGCTTTATACTCTTTTATGTACATGTACATTATATGCTTGATTTCTTTAAGTAAATTGCACATATTTCAAACAATTTGTAACATATGTTACGAGAAGTTAAAGAAATGGTATATTTTCATAGTGCAATATATAAAATTTATTGATACTTCAGTATATAAGTTAACAATCCATAAGGTGCAGCTAAAGGTATAATACCTGATGATAAAGGCTATCAAGATCTTATCCCCCAGAAACACAAGGATATCCTTATCTAACGTTGATGTTTACTTTGCTACCAGATGTAATTCCCTTCTATAAACCACTAACGGCAGGTCAGATATTTATGACAATTTTTTTTTGTCCTTTCAGAGGAACCAAGCGTCTGTTTATACAGACAAAACTTCAAACTTCTGCAGTAACCTTCATATGAATTTAGCAAAATATTGAATGCCGCTTTCGTACATGTATTGACTTTGTTATGCAATAAGAGCAAACCCTACAAGCTCTTTTGCATCCTGTATGCATTTTAAGGTCATCCGTGCTGACAATATTTGATGATATAGACGATGATATAGCCGATTAGAAAATGTTGAAATTAGAATTTATACACTGAACAAGATGTTGCAAATACTTATCATAGATACAGCAATGAAGGAAATAAAAAAAACAAATACATGTATTCAGTGAAGAAAAAAAAATCATTTTATTGTTAAAATATAAATCAAAGTACAAGCTATGCCTTAAAACTAATTTTGAAATATGTCTTTCAATTTTTGAACAAAATATAAAGTCTTAAAGGTTTTAAGACTTAATCTTCTTTCAAACTATGTTGCTCCAGTTCCATAATCTTTATAAAGTAAACCTGAATAAAAAGAACATTATCAATTTATTTTATGCCTTTCTGTTTTAACATATCAATTAAACCTAGGTCCATGGTCATTGTAATAATCCAGGTCATACAACCGTTAAGTTAACATGTTTATGATGTCACAATTACATTTAAAGCACATGTGAGAAAAATAATATATATTTTTTTTTCATCTTTTACACCAGTTTCATGTTTAGAAAATCACAGGGCAAGATTTGTATAGAAACCATACTTCTTTCCTTGAGGGAAAAAATTATATATTTTTTATCAAGCTTCGAATTCTATAAGTGGACTTATCCTGAAAATGAGAAATAAAACATCAATATCAATGCAATTCTACTACATGCTTTCTAGATAGAAAAAGTCTTTTTTTAAAACTATTTTCTTTAATAGCAAATGTATATTTTTTGTAGACAAATTGGTAAGCTGTAATTGAAAGTTGTGAAAACAACCAATCATGGTATATCACCAGAAAATGAAACTTATTAGCTGACTATCTATGCCATACCTGCAATACATCCTGTTAGGAAACAAGCGGCATTTCCTGCTATCATTGCTCTAAGAATGATTTTGGACATATCACCTCGTCTTGAAGGAACCAAAGCTGTCATAGCGCCTAGAAGTATGCCCATGGATCCAAAATTTGAAAATCCACACAAAGCATATGTAGCTATTACCTCAGATTTATTCTGAAATACAAAAATTAAAAAATTAGCAGAACTTTCCAGAGTAAATTCTTTAAAAGTCATTCAAAAACATTACAATAAAGAGTAAAATCTTTCCTGCTTAGTAAACAAGAGGAGTATGTCATATCATAGACATGATACTTATATAAGCAGTACCTTATTTCATGTAATACTGGAGTATACCTTTTCTATTCTGGTATAAATTATTCATACCACTGAAATTCTTAGCTATAGGCCTGTTTAAAAGTGAAATGTATATTTTTCATGATCATTTGGTTTCGTTTGTTTTCAATCTTGGTATTGTGTATCATTATGGAGTTGTTTTGCTCTAATCGGCCTTCTTTGTAATCATTATAATGATTATTATTTAAAGGGACATGAACACAGTTTCAACTAATTTTTTGAAAACCAGTTTAAATTTTTACAATTTCTAAATAAGGCAATAAAAATGATTAGCAAAAATTTGAACATCATTTATTGATTTACAAAGGCATATGGAACATATCATATTTATAACGAGAATGCAAATCAAAAACTTCTTCCTTTTTTATTGTTTACATAAACAAATAATGGAAGTGTTTTGTCTTGTATCTCGACAACTAAAAAAAAATAAAAAATGAAATATTTTAGCTAAAAAAAATGTATTTTATATAACTGTATTCATGCCCCTTTATTTACCGATATTATTCCATTTTTTAATGTCTGATTGGAATATGGAAGAAAAATATCCTCTCCCTTATAGAACCAGGCGGAGGATGAATTCCAGTGTGCTGTGTATAACATGAAAGTCTTTTTGTTAGCTATAAGGTGAGAGAGCTCTGCATACGCCACGAACTCGTTGGTGAAGGTTTTGATTCCGATCAGTTCCGCCACACGACGACAGTCCGGTATATCCGTCCCCATAAAGAAAGCGATCGGATAGAACACATAGGAACAGATCAACTGAAAGAATTAAGTAGCTGTTTTTTTCACAGAACTTTTTCAACTTTTGTTTTTAATTCAGTGCAACAAATTTCTCTCATTTACCGTCTCTGGATGTATAAAGAGTTGTTTGTCAAACTTCGTGTTCAAGGTCAAAAATTAAGGTAGCCAAAGAAAGGTCTTGTTAAAAGGAACATACAATTTACATGTATATTTTTGATACATAACATTCCTCGTATCAACCATTAAGAAATTATGTTCACTGGAAACGTTTTCTAAAACTAAGTGAACTCCAAGGTCAATATAAAGTCTAAATGGTGTGTACTGAAAGACAGTTTTGTCACAAGGACACACTGTAACATATTGGAGTTCAAGCACCATTCATTTAAACATTTTAAAATTTATGGCCAAAATAATTTTTTTTCAAAAGTATGTCAAACTCAATGGATAAGGCCAAACTACAATCTTGTTACTACCCTGAGCAAGGTCGTATTAAGTATACATATGTGAAATATGAATGCTTATAGTAAAAAAAATAATAAAAGTGGGTCAAATTCAAAATCAAAGTTCAAAAATTAACATTGAGGGTAGTCAAAGGAAGTTCTTATCACAAGGAGAACAAATGTGAAATATGAAATCATTAGAAAACTATAAACAAGATAAATAATTTTTAAAAGTAAGCAAAATTGCAAGACCAAAGTCAAAGAGTAGTAAATATTGGTACCCAAGATAACATTCCATCAATAAAAAAAAAACATTTACAAGTAATTGTCAAAGCATGAATGCGACGCACTAACAATTTATTGTTATGACCAAAAATAAAGTTTGTTAAAACTTTGCAAAGCTGTTCAAAGATCGAGATCAAATTTAAAAGGCCAAATAAATTGGTACCCAAAGGAAGTGTCCCACAATATACGCATGTAGATCAGTATGAAAGTCCTAGTTGTTTTCAAAACCAATTTAATGTTATTTTTAAGGTTGAAATATTCGCGGACAAACAGATGGAGACAGAGAAAAAATATTACACTTCTAAATCTTCGGTTTTTGGGGGCACAAAAATTCAAACAAACCTGAAAAGACAGACTTTCAATTCCAACACGTTCTCCAAACCAATCCAAGGTCATGTTTACAAATTCAAGAACACTCAGAAATGCCATTACATTTACAGCAACAGCAGTTATGATCTTGATTGAGTTCCACGCCCCTGACAAAATGGCTTCTATGATATTTCTGTCCGTTCTAAATAGTGATTTACAATTCTGTAAACTAATAATTACATGTATATAATATTTGAAGACTTTTGTAAACGTTTAATGTTGACGTTTGATAGAATTATCGAACTTGTATGTAGATTAGACGTAATTGTTTTATACTACATAGAGGAATTTCATTAAAAATACTGACGATTTCCCCATTTTGTCAAAGTCATAAAGGTTTGTTTTCGTCATTTCCGTTTCCGGGTAAGCAAGTTTAGAGACGGCCAGAGCAGCTGGTGCTGACATGACAGAGGCTGTGATAAGATGGTTTGCAGGCACCTTAAAAAGAGAAATGAATATGTTTCAACTATTCAAATAGAAATCGGAAAATGTAGTGTAAATCTAGGGAAATGTTATATAAAGAAAAGTCACTTGGCTAAACAATTATTAACTTGAATTTATTGCTTGGATCAATTTTGTAGAGGAGAAGTTCATATATTTACTAATAAATATGGTTAAAATAGATATAAGTACACCAAAATTAATGTAGGCTCCAAGAACAGATCCAGCGATTGTGGCGAATCCCCCTGTCATCACAGCATGTAGCTCGGAGCTTGTCATATCTTCTAATAATGGCTGAAGCATCAGTGGGCCATCAGTCTACACACAAGAATGAAGACATACTTTCAAACCAATTTTTCCTTACAGTTTACTTTTTGTGAAAAGTGAAAAAAAAATTGAAATCCTGAAAAGTGTTTTATACAGCAAATGTTTTTTTTTCTCTCTGTGTTTTACATGTACCATGCCTAGGAATATATTTGCTGCAGCATTCAAGGACTCTGCCGGTGTGGTTCCCAAGCAGAATGCCAGGAACATGCCCATCCTCTTAATGACGACCTGCATGACACCAAGGTAATAGAGAACGGAAATTACGGAACAGAACCAAACAGCCACTGGCAAAACCTGTATCAAAGGCAAAACAATCATTTAGGTTTTATCAACCTCACTAGTTTTCTGCAGTTATATAAGAGAATTTCTTGCAGATATACTATACCTTAAATGCAAAAAGGTGATTGGTGTAAAGATCACCAAAGACAAACATGGCACCAGCATTGGAAAAGTTTAGAAATTCTAAGATCCGATCACCTAGCCATTGGAATGCTAAGTAGCCCCACTTCGTTCTGAGTATGACGAGGGCAAATATATACTGCAGGGCAAAGCCCCAGAAAATTGGTCTCCACTTCACCTTTAAACAACGTATAAAAAAGCATCAGTTGATATGTTGTCTTTCAAATTTACGCACGTTAATTTTGGGTGCTTATTTTACCTTGGCAGGGCTTTTCGAAAATACGTAGAAAATGATGATGTATAAAATCAAGCCAGCAACAGACACTGAGTTTTGTGGATAGTCCAGTAAAACATCAATGACGATGTATACAGAAAGCGAAACAAACACAGACACCATCAATAATCTAGACAAAAATAACATGCATGCAGATGGAGATCGAGACGGTAGTTTTATAATGAGTAGACATGTAAATTAATGATATGTTTATGAAGAACAAATATTCAAAACTAGGAGACTTATTGTTCACAGAACAATAAGAGGTCTTTCCACCTTCTTTGAATTTTAAATTTGTTTTATACCTGACTCCTAAAAATTAAATTCCATGAAAAAGAAACCAAAAATCTCTTAAAGCATAGAAAAAATGAAAATTAAAAAAAAATAATAATAATGACCTTGACCTTTGACCTTGAAAAAAATTTCAAGGTCAAATGTCAAGGGTCACAATGCAGTTGCCCCCATGCTTCTATGACGTATAGTTTTCTAGTTATAAGGATTTATAGTAAGTACAAAGAACTTAAAGGGCAATAACTCATATAAGGGGTCATCAGATACATTTGCACTTATACAGTTTTGTAAAGCCTAAAGACCCTTAAGATATTAGTAAAGGTTTGGTGTCTCTACAGTCTACGGTTTCGGAGAAGTAGTGATAACAAGGTTTTTCACACAAGGGGCAATAACTTTTAAAAGGGTTAATATTAGGGGACAAGAGTGAAATCTTTGAAACAGTTTTATGAGTACATATTAATGACGCATAGACATTAAGTATATGTTGAAAGACAAAAGAGATATAAAAAGAGCAAAATTTCTCATTTTTGGAATGACCTTGACCTTTGACCTTTACATGAATTTGAAGGTCAAAAGTCAATGAATCTTATGCAGTTGGTCCCATGTCTCTATGACTTGTCGTTTTGAAAATTTTTAATTATTTGTAATATTCAAAAAGTTTCAGGGGCAATAACTCATTGAAGGGGTCACCGAATACTTTCGCAATGAATAGATTGAAGAGTCCCCATAATTAGGCAAAGCCATTGGTGAAGGTTTCATACCTTTACGGTTTACGGTTTCAGAGGAGTAGCGATAACAAGGGTTTTTAGCACAAGGGGCAACAATTTTTTAAAGGGTCAATCTTAGGGGCCAAGAATTATATCTTCTAAAGAGCTTCAAAAGTACATATTAAAGACATAAGATAGATAGTATATGTTTAAGGACATAAGAGCTATTAAGAGAAATTTATTTCTCATAATTGGAATGACCTTGAACTTTGACCTTGAAATGAATTTGAAGGCAAAAGGTCATTGAATGTTATGCAGTTGGTTTCATGTCTCTACGACTTTTCGTTTTGAAAATTTTTAATTTTTTGTAAAATTTATAAACTTTCAGGGGCAATTACTCATTGAAGGGTTCAAAGAAAACTTTCGCAATGAATAGATTGAAAAGTCTCCTAAATTAGTTGAAGACAATGGTGAAGGTTTTGTATCTCTACGGTTTACGGTTTCTGAGGAGTAGCGATAACAAGCTTAACGGTGAAAGGGCCAATAACTGCGTAAGGGGTAGAAGTTAAAACATACGGGGTCGTTTTTCAGAATAACTTTATATATCCAGTATCATGAACTAAAAAGTTTTTCGATAAGTCTTACCGTCTCAAAAGCTAAGGGGAGAAATAAAATAAAAAGAAACAGAAGCATTTCAAGAGGTCTTTCCACAGAAAGGTGGAAAGACCTAAAAAGAATTAAAAAGGCAGTCCAAAATGCTTAAAGCTTCGAATGTATTTTTAAAAAAGGTTTTATTACTTTGATGAAGCCTTAATATTTCAAATCCTTTCATTTTCATAAAATCCGTATAATTATTTTTTAGAAAATACCGGTAATTTAACTGTATTTTCTAAACATATATTATTCGATTTTTTGGGAGAAATCTTCGGAAAAAATTCAACTGATGTTATTTTCGGATAAATATAATGAATTTTAAATTATGAATATACCATAAAATATTTAATTTATTAAAATTCATGAAATGTTCAATTCAATTATTGTATTTTGTTATTCACCGAACGATTTAAATTTTACAAATAGGCAAAAAATATCAATATTATTATTAATTATTTCTGGATATCATTATTTACCTCCTCATGTACTTTTTTAAGGTTCTGGCATTGTTGGTTCTGAAGACCTGTTTTAGACAGGTGAAAACACCCGTCTTGGATATAGGTAATTGTTTGAGTTGGATATAAAGAAGAATGATTGTTCCAAAAATAGAACAAACGAGAAGTCGTATCGAGCCCTCGTCTTCAAACTTGAAGTACATGGCGTATCCAAAATAGACGAAGTACAGCAGCAGGAGAAGAAGTCTGAGCCCACGGATGCCTTTGGTTTTATGTTTGTTTAAAACAAAATAGACCGATGTCTGGATTTTTATGGCCAGCAGTGCAATTCTGTTGTATTTTTCATCCCTCTCATATTCCACGTTGATTGTAGTTTGAGATGGAGTATTTGCTTGATTTGTTTTAGAACAATTCTGATAAGCAAAATAATAAAGTATATATTTTTTTCAGGAAAGAAGCAATTGGCTATAAACGCATATGTTATGGGGATATAATTTGCATGTAATGATAAAAAATTCTAAACCTGGAATTATAAATTAGCAAAACCATTCATGGTAAAAATCTGGGTATATTTCAAAATACAAACGTCTGCTGTGTTGAGTCTATTATCTTTCTCCATGTTGCTTCTTTCAAGTCTGGTAATGTTTTTTCTATGAGAAATTTTAAAAATCTATACAGGTCCTGTTAATCAAACATATCCTGAAAATAGAGAAAAAAAACTTTTAGCTATAATTTATTGCAAGAAGATGGCGTTCAAGAAAAAATATTGGATTTTAACATGCAACCGGAAATGAAAATCAAAAAGTGGTCTAAGTCTCATACCTCTGCTCCCTTTGAACATTGTCTTTTCCAAATAGAAAATCCAATATTACTTTTGTTCACCATAAAGAAAAAGGAACACATTTTAAAAGAACACTCTGTTTTGAAAATTTGACATTATGTAATACATAAGTACCCGGTTAGCTAAAGTTGCTCCTTTAGACATCAGTATTCCGGGGTTATCAATCTCGCATTACCATTACAAAAACCTGGATACAAAGATATTTCAACATGTAAACAAAGGAGAGTGGTGCTACTTGTACGCATTTACTGTTTTATTGTGCCGCCTGCAAGGCCAAACGGCACTTAGGGATCACTCTTATTTGTAATGGTTTGCATTTGGATGTGTATGCAAATGTGCCGCAATTGATGTAAAAGTTACCTACTAAAAATTGACTTAGGTTTAATATATATGATTTATATATGCTGGTCGAACAAAATAACACATATTCAATTGCACCTACATTTTCCATTTCTCACCCTTTTACTGCTATTTTTTTTTCAAAGACACATTGCGAAACATTACACAATTGAAAAATAAACCAATTAAAAAAAATGGATCCCCAGCAATATGAATTTAATGACTTTATTATACGGTTATAACGAATTACGGATATAGCGAAGTAATTTCATAGGTCCCAGTGACTTCGTTATAACCGAGTTTTGCTGTAAATGAATAAATAAATCAATAAATAAAGGATTTGTTGTCTTCGTCGGTTATCTCAGTTTCACGCGCAGTTAAGAATTAAAGGACACGGCCATTTTGCCTGACTGTATTACCAACCAGGAAGAACATTTGACGCTTAAGATGAGATTATTAAATAAAATTACAGTGTAAAGCTCTTAAAGATTAGAATATTGCTAGCCAGTTAATTAAGAAGGTTGACGATGTTCTTTTGATAACTAGGTATTCTAAAATCAATCCTTGTTAAACACTGCAAGGTTCTATAAATGTTATTGTTATGATTATCAAACACATCCTATACAAATATATATATATATATCCTTATACACTCCGTATGTGATTTAAAGATAAATATCAAAGTGATGTTGAGAACTACAAAAAAAATCATCTCGGCCCGAGTTAAGAATCTAGTTTCTGAATATTTCAAAACCATCTGCCTGTTTATTCTTCACTTTAAAAATTAAACTTTATGGAACCCTATATAAATAAGAATAAAACCATACATCAATGTATTGTTATTTTTCTCCTAGTACAACAAAGCAAACCAATAGAAAACGATCAGGTTACAAAGCAGTAGTTTCAAAATGTAAGGCTTGCCTTAGAAATCAAGTAACAAGTTCTAGTCTTAAGGTGTATACACCTTTAATACACATTTAAGCCTTAAAATTTCGTATGAACAACCCTAGCAATCAAAATATCTAGAATATCTAGGTCAGTGCGAGAACAGGTAAAAGGCATTACCTTGATTATTTTAGTTCATAAACATCACAGATAGGGGATCATTTTGATTTTTTAAAAGTCTTTAATGTGGATAAGAACCAACTAAGAAGACTAAGGAAAAGGATATTTCCGGAAATGACGTGTTATTGACCCTGTGGATTTATGAAAACTTTATTTAAAAACAAAGTTTAGTTTGCTGGATTTATGGTTTAAAAAAAAGAATGTTTGAACCCTTTTTGATGCATTTTATAGTGCCTTTTAAATTTTCGAGCTATGATCATGCACAATGGATTTCAATGAAGTGTGTGAAAATATACAAAGGTGAAAAATTAACACAATCCTCTCATCATTAAACATGCCAAGATACAAATGTAATCAAGGAGGGTGAACTTAAAAATATTGTCCAGAAAAAAATTTCAGTTGCGAATTGATTCAAAAGTGAACAGAAAACAGTAGTTGAATATTTCAGTAACCGTTGAATATATCAGTTTTCAACGGATATCAATTGAACAGTCAAACTATACATTCTGTAATCGCAAGGTTACCTTAACCAACAACAACTAGCATGTGTGAATGAATTTTATTAAAGGATTTCTGAAGTTATGACACGGGAACATTTTTAAATATCACTACCAATTGCTTTCACTTTGATCATGTTAAAATGTGACTTTCATTCAACCATACCTAAACCATATTTAATCCTTACCTAAATCAAAACCTTGTAAATAAACAATATGAATAAAACACATTTTTGTCATTTCATTCAACGCAATATATTTTTCGAGATTATTTTAATTTGAACATATTTCAATCCAAGTATCGTGGATTACACAAATATATGACACAAACTACAACATGTATTTTCTAATTTTATTTTTCCAAATCCCACATATTGATAACTTACACAGGATCTAAGTTTTAGCATATGGCATATTGATGTACCTGCTTTAATGACCTATACAGCATCACGTATAGGTAAACTTTTGTGAAAGTTTTTTTTTACCAAAATCGACAGAACTGTGCTGTATATATATTTGCAAGTCAAAGATAAAATCTCTGGATTCAGTCTACACACATTTGTCTTATTTTACACAACTCTAGCAATGTCCCATATACAGCAATTTATGTAATAAATCATTACGATTTGATATGGTTACCGCGAGTCTCGAATTGAACTCGATCTATAAAATGATATAAAGCAAGCCATTTGAAGTAGATACATGTGTAATTAATGAAAAAAAAACAACAAAGTTTTATATAGCACATATTTTGTTAATAAACATCATTTCTAAAATCAGAATATTTCATTATTCTTTTATTACATGTAACAGTTACTACTATTCAAACAATAGATGTAACATGACGATAACTATGAACCTCAGAATAACAAGCATGTAGTAGTATTCTAGTGTAAACCTTTCGTTATTTCAACTTCGTCTTAATATACTTATAATCTGCACATATATAGGCGACTACTAAGCTGACAAAGCAAAGCTATCAATGATGATTTCTTTAAACTGTTCAAACAAAAGAGAAAAGGTCTTAATTAAGACATACAGGCTTACAGGGAGCACAGCATCAATTAGTTAATTAAATAGTTTCAATCATAAACTTTTCTCTGTACAATGCATTTTGAATCGTCACCCCTTTCCACAGTGATATGATGATTCCACCGGAGTTACATTGCCATTTTTTAAATGTTTATTCTCCTCATCTTGTAAGTATAAAACGAGGCTAGGTTGTATCGTAGTCTTTATACAGTAAACCTAGGAACAGATTAAAGTAAATTTATTTCAGTTCAATTTTTATTCAAGGTAAGAAAGGAAACTAAGATAATAGATTATTTAAGCTCTTTATAATAATATACCTGCTATACATCCGGTTAGGAAACATGCGACATTGCCAGCCACCATAGCTCTGACGACGATCTTGGACAGATCTCCTCGTCTTGAAGGAACTAGGGCCGACATACCGCCCAGAAATATCCCCATCGATCCTATGTTGGAGAAACCACACAGGGCGTATGTAGCTATAACTTCAGACTTGTCCTAAAAAAATAAATAGTAGCATTTTAAAAGAATTATTTTCTGTCAAGAGATTTTAGTGTTCTTTAACATTAAAGTGTAAATGTCGTTGTGCAAACCCATTCTATTTCTTAAATTAAGGATGATATGTCCATGGATCCGACTAAAACCCAAAGTAGTTCGTTTGCACAAAAAAGGTAATCCTCGTTAATGCAAACCCATTTTCAAAATAGATTTTCTAATTTACATTTATGATATCTGATTTAGATTCTGCCGAAGAACTATTGTTGCAAAAGCAATACATTGTACATACAGATATAATTCCTTTCCTTAGGGTCTGATTAACGTATGGTAAAATGATATTCTCCCCTTGATAATGCCAGTCCGAAGAAGAGTTCCAGACAGCTTTATAATCTGTAAAATTCTTCTTATTTTCAATGAGATGGGACAGCTCTTTGTAAGCCACGAACTCGTTGGTGAAGGTTTTGATGCCGATCAGTTCCGCCACACGACGACAGTCCGGTATATCCGTCCCCATAAAGAAAGCGATCGGGTAGAACACATAGGAACAGATCAACTGCAAAGAATATTGCATTTGCATTGATAATTTGATTTGGAATTCACTGAAATCTAATCTCCATTTGAAATATCCAGAGGGGAAAATAGGCTAACCTGAAAAGAGAGACCATCCACTCCAACACGGGCTCCAAACCAGTCCAATGTCATATTGATAAACTCTAGTACACAGAGAAAGGCCATAACATTCACAGCAATGGCGGCTACTATCTTTACTGAGTTACTCGCTCCTGACGAAATGGCTTCTATCACATTTCTGTCGGTTCTAAGCAAAGATGCAAGTACATCACATAATAAAATATTAGACAAAATAGAAGAAGGTGAATAATAAATATAATTCAAAATACAAACAATGATAAACAAGAATTCATGCAGTTTGGACCTGTTTAGAGTAAACTTATATGACATTGAATTCTAAGATAACTCACGATTTGCCCATCTTGTCAAAATCTTTCTTGCTAGTTCTGGTCTGCTCAGTTTCAGGGTAAGCGAGTTTTGAGATAGCAAGTGCGGCAGGAGCAGACATCACGGACGCCGAGATGAGATGGCTAGCCGGGACCTATTTAGCAAGAAGACACAGACTAATATGGTTAATTTGTCTGGCATTCTAATAAATGTCCATAATTTTACAATAAATTGTTTGTTTTTTATATTTAAAAAAAAAGAGAGTAGACTCACGGATGGAGAAAATAAGTTATATTGAGTGAAGTTGAAGATGAAGGTATGACAAAGAGTTTACAGCTAGGTTTTAAATTATTGTATAAGGTTATCCAATTGCTTTACTTCTCAATCAAATACTCATTGTTAAATAAAAATGTTTAATAAATAAAGTTTTTAAAATACATGGTGGTACTAACAGAATGAAGCGTTTTCTAGCGTCTTTAATGCGTATGTTGATAAAAAAAATACATTGACAAAAGAGTAAATATGACACAACGTACACCAAAACTGATGTATGCCCCAAGCACAGACCCAGCGATTGTAGCAAAACCTCCAGTCATCACCGCATGTAGCTCCGAATTTGTCATATCTTCGAGGAAAGGCTTAATCATCAACGGTGCCTCTGTCTACGAACCAAATACGGCGTTATTATACATTATACAAAAAGAGCAAATAAGTGGACATTGTGCAAACACCTTAAAATCATTCACCGAAATTATAATTAAGATAAGATCTCAGTAAGGTTGAAAAGGTGTATCACTTTCAAAATGTTAAAAAAAATTTGATTTTTATGTGATTTTTCCATCAAGTTGTATGCTAGTGATCTGAATTAAAATGCCTTTGTGTTGAAAATTGAAGATAACGAACAGAAAGCGCAAAAGTCCACTTGAACAATACAAACAGGATAAAGAAAACACAATCCTCGAAAATATCTGAGATGGGATCAGATGCCATGGAGGAGTTATTATCACCTTTGAGGTCAGAATGATTTTAACAAACAATTTTTCAAAGGGTTCATGACAAGGCATTAATTTACTTACAAAGTTACACTCTCAGATTCACTAGCAGCTGTCTATGATGTCAAAAAAACCTGGATTAAATTTATCGTGGGGTAAAGTTGTATAAAAGATGTTCTGATGCTATTTATTTAGTCAAAACTTGATATCCTTTGGTTTCTTTGTTTTTTTAAAACGTACATCAAAAATTAAACTATTTGCTTCGCCAAAATGTCTGTTTGTTTAAACAACATCCTCTTTTTATGATTTACCATTCCAACAAATATGTTTCCTGCAGCGTTCAGAGACTCAGCGGCTGTTGTTCCAAGACAGAATGCAAGAAACATCCCCATCCTTTTGACAATGACCTGCATAATTCCTAAGTAGTAGAGCACAGACGTAACGGTGTAGAAGAAAACCACTACCGGGAGAACCTGTAGTCAGAGAATTGCTTCTATTTATAAAACTTAAGAAAACATATTTTATGGAAGTACTTTTTATATATATAGTGATTTTGAAGGTTATAGATAAGCATTAACGCAGTGCACCAATGCTTAAAGGTTAACTTGTCTCAAATCAATATCGTGCTTTGAAAGAATCTTTAACCATTAAAACATTTGTTAAAAATCTTCTAAAAAGACCTACCTTAAATGCAAAAAAGTGATTTGTATAAAGCTCTCCAAATACAAAAATTGCACCAGCATCAGAATAGTTAAGAAATTCTGTGACTCGGTCACCAAGCCAAGAAAATGCATCGTACCCCCACTGCGTTCTGAGTATGACGAGGGCAAAAATGTACTGTAAAGCAAAGCCCCAGAACACCGGTCTCCATCTCACCTTGGAAAAAAATTATTAAAGTATAATCACCAGGGTACATCAATTGCCATCTTTTTCTAAAAAATTGCGCATTGCATTTTTTTTTATTAAGATACAAATAAATAATCAAATATGAATAAAAAAATACCTTGGCTGGGTTTTTTGAAAATATGTAGAAGATGATGACATATAAGGCAAGTCCAGCGACTGACACAGCATTTTTTGGATACTCAAGGAGTACATCATAAATTATGTATGCAGTTAATATAATAAACACAGCTACCATCAGGGATCTAGGAAAATATTTTTAAAAAATGATACAATTCATTAAAGAAACGTGTCAAAGGTTAAACGTATATAACCATAGGAAGAATGATATAGTGAATATTAGTGACAATGATAATAAAATATTAACAAATACCTTCCTGTATATCGCTTAAATTTTCTTATTCTGTTCTTTTTATTGAATGATTTCTCCTTTGGTTTCATTTGAAATTTGGATCCCATCAGTCGTTGTGATACGTAGATCAACAGAAGAATCACTCCTATTATCGTACAAACAAGAAGACGAATCGAACCCTCGTCACCAAACCTATAGTACATAGCATAGCCAAAGTATGCAAAATACAGCAGCAGCAGGAGGATTTGGAATCCAAATTTAATTTCACTCCGATGTTTGCTAAAAATAGCATCGACTGCCTTTTGGATTTTATCCGCTATCTTAGCACATCCATTAAAATCCTCGGACTCTTCGTGTTCTATTTTGATTTCTGTAGAGGTCTGGTTAGACGAACCAGGTTTTGTGCTTTCATCTTGCTGAAAAATCAAAGAGTTGATAATTAGAACTGAAAACGTTTTATTCATAAAACGAATTGTGATGTTTATTTATTGAAAAAAGAGGATAGTATTCACAAACCATTTATCGTAATTGTTACTAATATTATAACAAATTTGAAGAAAAAAAAGTTTAAACGATAGAAAATTTAAGGAGGAACAGGACCTTTCGCTGAAAAAATTCCTGTCAGTGAATTTTTTTCATATTTTTTTATATTACTAATTTAATATGTACTTAACATTTTAAAACGGTCCTGTCATGGGATTTCTTGACTTATTTAAAAGATATTGCCCCACAAATACCGCCCTGTTTAGAGTTTGTATGGAGTTTAGATACTTCATGTTTACGGGCCCATAACGGAGTCCATAATGCGAATTTTTACGCACAAACGATAAATATAATAAATAACACTATATAATCAAATATTTCAGAATAGTCATAGTGTTTAAATTATCTGAAAGCAATTGTTTTAATTTCATATAGTATTTGGTTGGGATAATTTCTGCATTTTTCAAGGCAGCTTCAACGACAAAAACCTCATTTGGAAAAAAATATTTCTAAATTTACGATTGAATGTCAGTCCTTCATCGTAATTATTTACTGCATAAATATTACAGGGTGAAGCTTACCTCAATATCGCAAAGGACATCGTTGAATTAGACGTAAGCATGATAAAAACGCTTCACGTTCGTATTTTCCGAGTGCGGGAAATCAACCGTGACGTCTCACGAAGACATAAACATTCAAAATTATCTAAACAGAGAGACTCTCTGCTACTAAACACGAAAAATATTAATTTTAAAAAATCTGCTTTAAAAATTTATCACGATACATTGACTGTGACCTGTTTATTATGAAATAAAACTGATCATGACAAGTGTGTGTACTTGATCTCGCTGCACTGAAAATTCAAACACTACGTCTATGACGTCACTGACGTCAAACTGCAGGGTAAAGAGAAACAAATGTGTGGATTGGGCAACTTCACAATATCTAAATGATGGCAAGATCTTTAAAAATTTTATAAATAATATATTCTTAAACTAAATGTTTAAAAAACAATTTTAGAATTTAGAATAACATTACACAAGAACTGTTGATTTTAACAACGTTTAACATGTATATCATTACCGATTATGACGTAATATGTCTTTTAAGTCATGTGACATGTGTCCTGTCTCCCCTTAAAGAAATACATGTACTTACATCTGTTGCAGTATATCCATTGTTTATCTCCCCTCCGTTTGAGAGCTTTATTTCCAGCGGATTGTCTTCTTTACTCATCGTTACAGATCAATGGGAAAGCTAATTCTGTGAAAATGACATTAACCTTTGATAATATTCAATATTACGAAATAATTCTTAAAATATATCGGTTTGAAACGGTTGTAAGGCGATGATACTAATGAAAAATTAGCATATAGCATAAATAAGATTAAATCTATATTTAGATGAGAATATAAAAAAAGGTCCCAAGTGCTACATGCTTATTTTTTAAATAAAACAAAGACGAGATAAAACAAAATATGTGAAATAACTCGATTTTAAAATTATCCCTGTTACCCGTCTTACTTACCGCTAAATGGAGTAAACTGAAACATTGAAATCACCAATGTACACCCAATGTACATATCAGTGCATCTGAATTCTTTGGTATCCAAGGTATACTGGTACACAACTTTTAACTTATTTTTTATCACTCACCTTTAGCTCACCTAAGCAGTAGGATTTATTTTTTTTAAATCGATTACAATCATTCCTCCAATACCTTGTAAGGTATTTTTATGTAATAGCTTTAAAATTTATTTTTAAAAAAGTTAAAATTCAAGTTACAAGATATATATAAAAAGCATAAGATGTTTGTAAAATTATTATCTAACAACTTTTAATATTTTTAAAATATCGATTCCAAAATTCACCTTCCTGAAAAAGATATGTACCCTAATTGAATCAAGATATTGTTTCCTTGTTTTTCTTCAATCCCATGTCTTTCACAGATTGTCCTCAAATAATACTTGCGCATCTAATCGCTTATCCTGATATTGATTTCCGCCTAGTACTCCGAGGAAAAGAAATGATATTTATGGGAACAAAATGCCCGTCGGCCTTGTTGGTCACCTGGGTTCTATGAGACTATCTTACCACAATCTGGAACTGGATGCATAAGGAATCTGGACTCAAGTGCAAAAAAATTTATATCGTTAGTGTTCTATATTACTATATATTTTCGGATTCCCAAGGGTACCAAATGCGACCCGTTATTAGCAGTCCTACTGTAACGGTTGAATTCATATGAAGCAATGTTTATTCAAAAACTTCTAGATGAAAAGAAGTGTCATGCTATGGCCTAGACTTATTTAACATTCACTTATATCAAAGACATTTTATTTATTAACTCCTGATTCTTTTCATTCATATCTTGATTCGACATATTCCTTTGAAACTCGAAAGAAAGAAACCACCGGGTCTAACTCATCTATCTCGTAATTGTGTATCTTACTAGAAGAATACATGAATGGTAACCTATCGTAAATGTGATGATTTCAATATGTCCTTAATATATGGTCCACAAGTGGTTTCTGTCTCCCAGTTGATTCAATGCGCAAGAGCATGGTCTACGTTTGAACAATTTCCAAAACGAGGCAACTTTTCACAAAGCAAAACTAAATCTTCACCACTGCTTCCTGTTACTTTATAGATTTCCAAACCTGCTCATTGCAAGGAGCATACAATTAAAAAAAATGCAAAGGTGTGACTGGTTGACATGGTATGCTTACATGGCAACTTATCCCACCTCTAATGTTTTAACTGAGTTGTCAAACAGTGTTTACTCTGCTCCAAATAAGTATGGTTTGGATGGACTTTTGAATCATTAACATTTAGAATTTTAAATGAATCTTTAAACTAAATTAACAGTATTTTCATATCTTGATTATAAACAAACATTAAATTGCGACGAATGATTGTTTATCAAAGTTTTGTTTAATTAAGGCCTTGTATTACGAAAACTGTTCTTTAGGTAGATAATAAACCGGAAGTGTAAGGCTGCATTCAATGTCTCCTTATGGATAGCCTTTGTCACATGCACTTTAACTGCTCTGTAGATACGATAATATTTCGGTCAGGAAGGACGGGTACTTGGTTGTTTTGTAACTTGTACTTAACAACCCTGTTTCCATCACAGTTTGATAACTTTACTAAACTATGACGTGAAGACTAATGAGAATGATTTATTTTCCTTTTGAAAAAGTCTCTTTTGGACAATTAATTACCATTCATTAATTGACCTATTATAATAACGCAGCAATGTTAAGGTTACAAAAAGGAGGCGGAGCCTAATTTGTAAGGGAAAACTTGACTATGACATCATACACAATGTACGTCATACAACATTTCTTTAAAATACAACAAAATGAGTTTATCTGCTCATTTAACCAGTTACAAATCATCCAACTGCATAAAAACTTACTACAGCGTGTTGTTCTGTTGTTAGTTAAATCCCACATAATAAGTTTTAAACAAGTCACTGATCGCAATACACTTGTCAATATGACGTCATTTCTTACAACGTGACGTAGTTTGAATGCAGTGAGAGACAGATCGAGTAATATTTTCTCAACAAAATATGTATTCTCTAATTAAATAAAATATTATTTACAAATATTCTATGGGCCAATAACTTTAATTTAATGTCTTCTTCACTATTTTATTAATATATTCTCTGTACATTACGTATCTATTTGACACTGCCGTATATCTATTTGCAAGTACATCGGAGGGTAATGTGGGGGGTCTTAATAAATTGATCTAGTGCAAGGGCATACACTCTGGATTAAATGAAGCTTTTACAATTCAACTATAGAACTATTACTGTAACTGAAAAGTGCTGCGATCCTGATGAAATCTTAAAAACAATTTAATTATATCAATAATTCATGCCCCTGATCTGCAAAAAATAAAGCATTCGGTCATACAAATATAATTTTAAAAATGAAATTGCAGAATTTAGACAGGATCGCAGCACTTTTTAGAAACTACAATGTGTGTTGAAAATATGTATATACTAAACTTGGAAATTTAACTTGGTTATGCCCTTGCACTAGTGATATTTATATGTAACATCAATACTTCAAGTCAATGTGTTAAAATCGCGTGACTGGCGCATCACGTGACTAGTCTAAATATAAAATATAATCGTCTTCAATATGTAGTTATTAATCATAATAACAATTATCTGATATAAATAATGTACTAAAAATAATCGCCATCCCGATTACAATTGCATTTTTGAACAGAAATTTTAGTCGATATTTCCATTGCGCACCTTAACTGTACTGCGAATTAATATGTATCTATTAATTATAACCAGACAATTATGTAATGATAATACATATCAAGGGTATTTTTTGAGTTTGGAAATTTTTTTTTGCGATTAAACCCCAGAAAATCAACAGATTAGATTTTGCGTTTTCAATTTAAACGGTTGTATAATACAGTAAGCAAATATCTATTTACGGATATGAACATCAAACTCTCTTTACTTGACAGAGTACTTTTAAAAATTAGTTAAACACATGATGATCAAAACTGCATGAGTACTTATACTAAGCTCTATTATCTTTGAGTCCTTATCAACTATTTTCTAATCCCCTATACTTTGTACATCTGTAAGAACAAATTTATTCTTTTAAAGAGTATAAAATTAGAAGCTTTGAAAGGGACAGGAAAAAAGAAAGGTACTGTACATCGTTTTACTTGAGAATAGCTATAAGTCAAGAAATGCACAATAACCATCTAAAACAGTAAATAAACATTTTTTAACTTTAGCAAGGTTGCCAAAAAAGCGACATGTTCAACTCCTTAAACAAATAAAAAAAATGTTCCAAATCTGATGAGTGCTCTGAATAATATTCTCAAAAGTCTAAAACGACATTGATATCAAATTTTATTGACTCATGAACTTACATTTTTTTGAAATGTGACATAAAAAAGACAACATGGTTACGTTTCTAAAAAGCACATTTTAACCATTGTGTATGGTACAAATATAATATGTGACATTAGTTTGTCAATCAACCTGTAAATGCACTTTTATATGTACCACTTAGCCTGCACAATTTTTAAGTCTGTGTAGAAAATCGGTAAATCTATCTGTGTTATCTTTCTTTGTGAGAGATTCCTTCTGTCATGAGAGTTGCTGAAAAACAAAAAACAAATGCATATGCATAAAGTGAACCGAGGTCTTTGCAAAAAATTAGCTTCATTTACATAAATAAGCATAAAATTCATTTGCACAAAAAAGCATAAAATAGCTTGATTTAAATAAATTTGCATTGATTTTGTACCAATTAAAAAAAATTCACTTATTATATAAAAAATTGCACTGCGTTTTCTTTGAACTTATTTGATGCAAACTTTTGAAAATGATAATTTTCTGCTTATTTATGCAAATGAAAGTAATTTTATGGTAATAAATGCTAATTTAGCCAATTTTTTGCTACTTTAACAAAAATGAAGCTACTATTATACATGCATATACATAAAGTTGCATAAAATAGTATAAAATTAATAAATGTTTATGTAAATGAAGCTAATTTTCTTTTAATTTATGTAAATTAAGATAATTTTAGGCAATTTATTTAAATGAAACTAATTTTTTCTTAAAATTTTATACAAATACTTATTTTTCGCATATTTATGCCAATGAAGCTAATTTTATGCAAAAAAAAAATGAAATTTTAGTAAATTTATGGAAATTAATGCATATTATGAAAGTTTAATGTAAAATAAAGCGTTTAATGCAAAAAGAAGACATTATGTAAATTATGACATTAAGATTGTTAGATCATGACATCATATTACTAAAATATGTTTAATGAATACTTGATGTTCAATGAATCACTAAAATTCTACCATACTCTATTTTTTTTAAAGACTAAATATAATAATGTGTTTTTCTGAAAGTTTTAAAATAAGAAGTTAATAAAGTTGATAATCTTTATTGCCCAAGACATACATCTTATAGCATTAAGTAAATATAACAAACATCATATAATAGGTTGCCAGGCATGGTATACGAGGGGCGTTCAATAAATAATGTCATTGGAGCTCAGAAAGAAGCAAACGACGCTTTTCAATGATTTAGTCTTCATGATTTTACTTATTAATCTATTTTAATTCAAACACATGTCCGTAACATTTTTATCCAATTTCTGATTGTTTTTAGAACTCATTTTTGGGTATGACCCTTAGTATACTGGAAAATGGCAGATCCAATGATTTCCTGGACTTGTTTTTTTTTTCCTTCTGAAAGGTGTTTTATTCAAGTTTGGAAATAGAAACAAGTCAAAAGGTCAAAGATCTGGCAAATATTCTTAATGTGAAAAAATATTAACTTTCTGTTTATCCCGTAAACCCCTTTACTCTTTAGGGCATGCGGGTTTAAACGCTGTCATGAAGAAATTCAATGTAGTGGATTCCTGATTCTGGGTCCTTTCTCTGATAAACCTTTCGATTTCTTTGCAAAAAAACTGCTTTCTAGACACCTCCAGATATTAAACTGTCTCCCCGAATACGAATTTGAACAATAATACCACTAATATTTAAGAAAATTGCATATAAATCTGTTTTTGTGCTCTTGCATACCTTTGCTCTTGACAGACCTTCACCGTTTTTATCAAGTACATCTTATGGTAAATTTTGTTTTAATGGTTTTAAGCAATAGATCCATGTTCCAATATCTGTTTGAATATAAAACAAACGTGGATTACTACAATTT